TTGTCCATCAGCTTGAGGTTGTAGATGATGACGAGGGTGCCGGAGCCGCCTCGGATCGAGTCGAACGAGCGCATGAAGCTCTCGTGCGTGTGGAACGGCGAGTACTTGTAGATCAGGTCCATCTCCAGCTTGTGCTGGAACGCGGGCGGGAGCGGTGAAGAAGCTTGCTTCTAGGCGGAACTTAAGCCCGGCGCACACGCGAGTAATTTTACTCAAGTAAAAACCCTAATCCTTACCTTCTCCAGTGCCTTGCCAGCCTTCCCGAGCGCTCGCTTGCTCTGGCTGTCAAACGACGGCAGTGGAACGATCACCTGTGGTGTGTGGACAACACATGGGGAAAGAGTTAAACGAAAAACCAGACGGAAAACAACACACTCACGGGCCACGACTCCCAACTGCCAAAACGCGTCGCCGACGGCAACGAACGAACGCCCGTGGGTAGTACTTTAAACATTTTTAGAGCAAGGAAATTGTCTTTCGGTTTTTATCGAAAATATATAGAGCACGACGCGCGACAGTTGGATAGACGCTGACGCAAACATTTTAGCCGTGCAGTTCATTCTGAGGACGTCTGACAATTTGCGGGGTGGGGGGGTCACGGCAATAAGGCTGGTGTACACTACCGACTATGTTGTCAAATGTGGCGAGTTGGACCAATTTCGCAATTCGGCAACAAAGATGGATGACAACCACAGCAAGTAAGGGGGTAACCAGGGGAATTTTTCACGGGAGCTCTTTTTTTAAAAGCCTGTGGGAAAAATCTCACGTCAAAAATTTTACGGGAGCTATTTTGAGCCTCACGGGAACGACTCTGTTCGGAGGTTTGAGAGCGAATCGGCTTCATTCGCTTCCGCGTGTATTTTTTTTTACCCTGGTGGTAACCATGGCAACCATCGACGACGACTCACCTCCTCGATCTCTCTTCCTCGTGGAACGGCGAGACATCATGAGACACGTCTCCGTCGCAGCCTTCTTCGTGAACAGTATGAAGTCGCTGCCGATGCGCATCGAACCCCTGACGACAAGACGAAGAACGCACGGCGTGAGCATGGTGATAGAGAGGGGGGAGGGTGACAGACAGGAGAGAGAGAGAGAGGGAGGGGGGAGGGTGACAGAGAGGGAGAGGGGGGAAACACATGTAGGGGTGAAGGTAACAACTTCTGACGACGAGATGAAGAACGCACGGCGTGAACATGTGTGGAGAAGAGGGATGGTGATGAGAGGGGGGAGGGTGACAGAGAAAGAGAGAGAGGGGAGGGGAGGGGGAGGAGAGGGAAGAGGGAGAGGGAAAGGGAGAGAAATAGAAATAGAGCGAGATAGAGAGTAATAGAGAGAGAGAGAGAGAAAGAGAGAGAGAGAGAGATAGACAGAAAGAGAGAAAGAAACAGAGAGATAGAGAGAGAGAGAGATAGAGAAAGAGAGAGCACAAGTGTGGGGAGAGAGAGTTTGAATACATAGATGGCGCCACTCACGACTTGAGTCCATTTCCGTACTGTCCGATCATCTGTGAGTCAGTGACTCGCTTCGTGGATTTACCGAAGGTTATGATATTGGCTGCTTCACCTGAAACAAACGACAATCACAATAACAATAGCGATAATATTGCAAAATCTCCAACATATCTTATATACGCAGATCGGGGGTTTTTCACGACAGAGACCGTTCACGTCACAAAAACTTTGTTTATATATTCTTGAGAACATAAATCAATCATGAATCATGTCAGTATTACTTAAGGTGGTGGCATGATACCACTTTGACTACTTGCCTCGGTCACTGCTTAATGAATAGACCTCACAATCTACACATCTAGACAACAGTGCAACTGCTCACCCCCCACCCACCCTTCCCCGGCAAGAGCACTTACTTGGGTCCATCCCGTCGCCGTCGTCGAGGAAACAGAGCATGTAGCCACCCCGCAGGCTGTCGTCCGGCACTGAAACATTGACGCACACATCACGACGACAACTCACAGCAACCGCCGTCGCCACGACGACGACGCAAACACGATCGTGCGCTCATGCAAAGTACGCGCTCGCTCGAAATCTCTAAAGGCGGGCTTATGTCGGGCTTGCGAGCCGACTCGACTGGAAGCAACTGGCTGCAATTCACTGCGACTGCAGTGCTTAGGTCGGTCGACTGCGACGCGACTGCCTGCGACTGGCCGCCACTAGTTGCTCGGAATAGAACAGTGGGCAACTGGACGCAACTAGTCGCTGCTCATCGCTTCCAGTTGCTTCCAGTCGAGTCAGCTCGCAAGCCCGACATAAGCCCGCCTTAATGCTCGATCCGAAACGGCCACTGGTCACCACGTGCAATGGAGGTCAGTCACTACATTGCATCACGTCATAGTACTAATATATAGTATAAACCAGGGGTTCTTAACCTGTGGTCCACGGACCTTTTTGGTAGTGTTGTCAATCGGTTGTAATTTCGTAATCGATCATCGGTTGGACCCAAGTAACCGATGATCGGTTACAATCGGTTACTCGGGGTGTTGAATGCCTGCGTGTGCGTAACGTCATGTGCATGTACGTGTGTGCATGTATGTGCTTGTTTAGCCCTGTTTACTGTTTGTTTTGCACTGTTTACTACTGTGTGTATAATACATGTATGTTAATAAAGGATAACTTGTATAGTAGCAATAATATCTCTGATTCTCATCACTTTTTCGAATTTTTTTTTCCCGATGAAATCGATTATAAATGCATTTTGATAACCAAGCGCTTGGTTCGAGCCACTGTTCAACCAATGATCGTGATATCACTACCTTTTGGGCTTCAGAGGGTCTTTGAACCCTATTGTAAGCAAAATTTTGTGTTTATGTGCTGATGTGCACATAAACATATTTTTCTGGGGAGTGGTCCGTAGCTTTTACCAAATTCTCAAAGGGGTCCATGACTCAAAAAAGGTTAAGAACCACTGGTGTAGACTATATATATATAGTATAAACTCACCCGTGTATATGTTGATTTTCGTCGCAGAAGCATCTCTGAAAAGAGAGAAAGGAGGAGTGGCGTGAATGACGGCGAATCAACGCTACGACGGAGAAACGGTTAACTTCGCCGAGCAGCCGTTTAAACAAGGGGTTAGGCGTCCATTTCTTGTCACTGCCTTAGGCCAAAACAAAATATATGTGTGGTTACCGTTACATGACGTAAAAAAATAGGACAGGTAGCCAAGGTAGGTAGGGAAAACTATCTTCTAGGGGTAGGGAATATTATTTTCTTGAAATATTTTATTTACGAACCATGTCCGAAGGATGTGCGTTGTACCTTTTGAAGCAGGAACTGTCCAATTCATTTTTTTTATTTTTTTTTTACTTTAAAGAAAATTGACAATAAATTGTTGAGGGTCGCTGGGAATAAATAGGGTAGGTCGGGAAACCGTAACCACACCTATATTTTGTTTTGGCCTTATGTGCTATCTAGGCACCTACGAGCGATAACAAAACTAACTAACTAGGCATCTGTTTAAACTAGACGACGAGGGGACGAGGGGAGAGGAGAGGGGTCGTCTACACACCTCGCATTGTCCAGAAGTTCTGCCAGCGCTCCGAATAAGAACTCGTGGGTAGTCCTGCCAATGCAAACGCAAGCGTTAGTCAGTGCAATCGAAGACAGAATCACAGCAGACAACTTTTTATATTTTGGGGGCGAGTGTTGCCTTTGGTTTGATCGAATATTTTAGGGCACACTGATGTATTTTGAATGGGCATTAAGGCAAGCGTTTTGTTCAAAATCTAAGAGTTTATGCCACTTCAATAACAATGCTAATATAAAACAAAAGGGAGACATACATGACACTAAAGTTATTGGAAAGGTACGGAGACAAACGATGCCAAGGCAACCACGGTAGTTTATTGCCTAACCCTGATATGGGTCAATTCCAAGGCACCACTACTGCTAGTAAAAATTGCATCCCCGACACTTGCTGTAGAGCAGTAGAGGGTATGGTAAAATTTGAGCCCGGACTTCAATTGAGGAAGCCTTAAAAACTGATAAATCAGAGCGATCACGAAGGATTGGAATTAAAACAAGAATTCCCAACGCTCAAGCAAATCGATCGCACCGATCGACATGACATCGGCATCGAATAAACAACGGTGCGACGGCGGGGAATCCTCACACAGGGGGCGCTGCACGCGGTCGCCCGGTGCTGCCACTCACGAGTTGGTGTGTAGATACTCGAAGCTGAGCTGAGCGCGGCTCAGAACGCTGTACTGCGCGTATTCCTTCTCCTCCGCCCCCATCGTCTTTTCCTCCTCAAACCCGGCGAATCAGCGCACCACCGGCGCCACCTTGTGGGGGAGACGTGCAGGCTCGTGGCGACGCTCTCAGATTAGCTCGCGAATCGGTGGACTCAGCGCAGATTCAAGCTCGGATGGTGAACGTCGGCGCCGAGCGGATATATCTGCAGAGCAGTCTGAAACACGGACGCGAGATGTGCGATCGTTATAAAAGTCCCCGCGTAGCATCCGTTTACTCTAAGACGTCATCATGGTTCCATGTTGTAGTTCCATGTTAACGATCAATGTTCTTGTCAGAATCACATTAAATGAGATATAAATTACTAGTGTTGGAGATCGGTCCAAATTTCATGATCGATAATCGGTTTTACAAAACGACCGATGATTGAATAATCATCGATCATTTTAGATTGCGGCGACGACGTGTCATCGTCGACACAACCGGTGTATTGCGAAGGAATATTGACGTTATTGTATGTGTAGCTAGTATTTAATGGTAAGTAAATTAAGGATACTGTTAGGGTTACGGACGGCGGCATTGTAACATAACTGCTCATCAAATTCAATCAAAAAAAAAAAGTTCGAGTTGTACTCGGTCGTCCGATTTTCTACTCGATTAATCAACTCGGCAGCCTAAACGAGTAATGATCGACGAACTCGATTAATCCAAGGCTCGACACTAGCGGTGGCCCGGGGCCACCAAAACTTCATGTCGGGCCACCAAAATTTCCAAAAGTTTAAATTTGGTGGCCCGATCGGGCCACTAAAATTTCAAAGTGTCTATGTGATAAAAATAATTGTTTCTTCTGTGCTAATCTCATTGAAAAGAGAGCGAGCAATTCGCGGAGCGAGGGCACACGTACGCACGTGCAGCATTCTACCGCGGGCACGGTTTATCGATCGTCTACTGCGGCTGCAACATGCCACGTTATTGTGTTAGACGCGCGTGTTTAGATAAATAATGAGTGAAAGTAGAAAAATGGTATGCAAGATTCTGGTGAAAATTTGATGCCGTGGAATGGATAATTCAAATGTATGCCTCAATCATCAATGTCAGTGTGTGCCATTATGTGGGGTTTGTTTAAAGACTTGTGCAAGTGCATCAGACGGCCCAATTTTCAAATAATATACAATACGAGATTGAAATAAAGATTTATAATGTTTTTCTTTGTTTTTTTTTTGGGCCACCAGATTTCATTTTCGGGCCACCAAAAATTGAAAATCAATGATTTTGGTGGCCCGATCGGGCCACTGAAAAAAAAAGTTAGTGTCGAGCCTTGATTAATCGGAACACCACTATAAATTACTGTGGTAACGATGTGCCCTCGGGCAATTCACCGAAACAAACAGTGCACAGGTGCAACAACAAATGGTTCTACATAAGGTTATGGTCTCAACGTGATTGTCCTACCAACGTTGTTTGGCGAAGGACCTATACTAGAGTTATAATAATTAGAGATATATACTGAGAATTAATTTGCATATAGTGACCATGGATAGAAATAGACACAGGCACTTAGAGCATTTCAATCAAATATAATGCTAAATAAATACGAAATCTATTTACTACCAAAGTCTTAATTGCACAACGGGAGCGAACGCGAGAATTTCGTCAAACTATGTGTGATTTCGCGTGACACAGCTCGGTTATGAACATAGACAGTATGTTTTTATAACATTGACAAGTGAACACTGTTCTTCAAATAAAAACAAAGATGGAGTAGAATGGTTGAATATTTGTGTAGAAAATAGAGTAGGGAAACATTAAGACTTTGGTAGTAAATACATTTTGTGTTTATTTACCTTTTTTTATTTTATTGAGATGTTCGAAGTACTTGTGGACCTTGGTGCTTACAACACGATATCGAAGAGTGCAGATCACTAGGCAGACACTATCTCCCCGTTAAAATTTTAATAGAATCGCTGTAAAGCAAGATAGTCCGTGTACAGTTGCCGCACGGCTATAGAACATTTTATGCCAGGTTTCGTAACTGCACCTGTCCCTCAATGCTTCCACGAAAAATGACTCACAAAACGCAGAATGATCGGGCTTTTTAACACTTATTTATCTACATGGACATCTCACCTATCTTTATGCACACTTTCCACAACTTTAGTCTTTACACCATGTATTTATGGATTTATTCCTCAAAGTGCTAGCACTACTTGCATTTTGTTTTGAAATGTTGTTGTGTACACGCGTGACGTCACCCGAAATGTAGACAAAACACATGGGCAGCTATGATGCAGCCTATTACATTTCGGGTGACGTCACGCGAGTACACAACAGCATTTGAAAACGAAACGAAAGTAGTGCTAGCACTTTGAGGAATAAATGCATAAATACAGGTAGCCGGACCAGGCTGTGCGACCGATTGTCTATACAGCCTGACACCCTTCCATACAAAAAACCTATCACCTCTGCAGATCTATAAGAATAACTCTGTATATCTCAAATAAAACTATTCTATTACCACCTTTGACTTGCCTTGTTTGAAATATGAAGGCTAACTCACAGTTGTCCTGCTTCTAAACTAGAATGTATCTCTTAATTCATGGTATAATCTGCTAATTCTCACAGCATATCAACTTTCCAAGCAGCTTCACATGATTGTTTACCCGCCATGTTTACACTGCGCATGCTCAACGGAAGAGAGACACGGAAAACCCGAAACGGAAAAGACTCGCTAGAAAATACTACAGAAATAGTACAATAGCTGCACGATGGCTCTCACAGCAATTACACACCAAAGCAAGTGAAACGATGTTCACAAATGTCTGGGCCATTTGTAAAAACCTTAGATGACATGTTCTCGGATATAGGGGTTGTTTACATGAGAACCGCAGATCGTTTAATTTCCCTTGTTCAATCCATTGCGGATTTTAGTCACTTTCATTTTAGTTTAGTCAGTTTAATCACTGATTCATTTGGTATATCACATGTGAAGTGTTCTTTGGCAATACTTGGCAAATAAGACAACTACGTGTTTAGCTGCAGCCAATGTTTGAAACGGTCTTCTCTTCTAACCCTAGCAAGACCGTTTCTTGGAGCTAAAATACAGGGTGTAAAGTTGTGGAAATTGTTCAAAAAGATAGGTGAGATGTCCATGTAGATAAATAAGTGTTAAAAAGCCCGATCATTCTGCGTTTTGTGAGCCATTTTTCGTGGAAGCATGGGGGGACAGGTGCAGTTACGAAACCTGGCATAAAATGTTCTATAGCCGTGCGGCTACTGTACGCGGGCTATAGTACTAGAGACTCGCAGCTAGGGCCTGCATACCTCCCAACTCCCATTGGGCCATCCTTAAAAACTTATATGTTTGCTGTCCTCCGACCGACCCACGAAAATAGCCGCGACCCAAAAGTTTTTTTTAACATTTTGGGTTTTTTTTTTTTTTACATTTTTCATAGTTAAGACTAAAACACAAAGCATGTGTGGCAAACATGAGGACAGACTTAAAATAACTGTTATGCCTAAAAAAAAAAATGAAAAAAAAGACCTACCTACCTACCCACTAAAAAAATCATGGGTCGGGGGACAGCAAACATAGAATTTTTTAAGGATGGCCTTGGTTGATAAAAATCTAGTTAATTTTTTTAATTAGTTTATAATTAGGGTTAGGGTTAGGATTAGCCTTAAACCGACCAGGCTCTCCGACTGTTACACGTTGTAGGATTAATGTAGTGTTAAGCCTACACCAACGTAGCTCCGAGAAACGGTATCGCTAGGGTTAGGATACCGTTTCGAACCGTGGCTGCAGCTAAACACGTAGTTGCCTGATATTCCAAGTATCGCCAAAGAACACCACACATGTGATATACCAAATGAATCAGTAAACGTCCACCTTCTTGTAACCATCAGTGCGCTACGATGCGCTGGGTACTTAATGGGTTACAGCGACTTTTTGAGACGAATGCACCAGGATTTACTAATTCGCCGCCATGTTTTATCATTCTGACCATGTTCTGACCGTGACTAAAACCCGCAATCGCCCAATCGACCGTACAAGGGAATTAAACAAGAGGTATGTGTAACTTTTTTGTAATATTTTTTTAATTAGTTTATAATTAGGGTTAGGGTTAGGGTTAGCCTTAAACCGACCAGGCTCTCCGACTGTTACACGTTGTAGGATTAACGTAGTGTTAAGCCTACACCAACGTTGTGTTAAAGTGATTACGTCACCGTAAATATTTAAAAAAAAAAAAATATTTCCACTTTTCCACAAAATATAAGTAATTCTGTTCACATTTTATGGTTAAATTGCTGCATTATACTTCCTATTTTACTATATTGTTCGATGTGAACATACACTCGTGACCCATACATAGCCCATAGCAAGCAATTAATGTTGAGAACATTAATTAATTCAAATCGTCCAGGTTTTTTGGATTTTTAACTAGTTGAGAAACAATCTTTATAATATCAGATAAGAATTTGACGATTTGTTTAGTCCCGTTAGTTCTTACTTTTAATGTAAAAAAATGGCAATTTTTTTACAAATTTTAACATAGAAAATTCGTGACGTAGTCCCTTTAAGCGAGAATGGAACTTGTGGCTAGGTTACTAGCCTTAGCCTAGGGTTAGGGTCACAATGCACCATAAAAGTTTTATTAAAACAGGATTTTCAGGCCCGTGATTTGTATCAACCAGTGGGATTTGGGAGGTATGCAGGCCCTAGCTGTGAGTGTACTAGAGCTATACCACTGTTTACCAGTAGGAGTCTCATTACTGGACATTAGACATTACATTAACTCGTCAACTGTCTGTGTCACGCATCAGACTCACCACCTACCGTTTACCTTGAATTCAAACAGATACAGTGGCGATCGCGACCCACGCCTACTTCACACACAATGGCGTAGCACGACGCGAGATTAAAATAATTTAAACGTATTTTTAGCCACTATAACAGGGATTTAAAGATATAATGTATCCAGCCAAAAATACCGACAGGATTTTCAATCCTCCATGACAGATCGATACGAATCTTACCACCAGGTGGCGAGACCCAGGACCGACCAATCAGAGGTTAGCATAGAAATATGGCTGCGCCCGTTCAATTTTATTCTTTGGCGTTTATAACAGCAAGATTTTTGAGAAATTTAACGGCACTGAAAAATGCCTCGCCGCGGCCTTGTAAACAGAATAGACAATACAGGTATATTACCGGAAAGGTTTGAAGTGTTGTTTGATCGCGACTTTAGTGGCACAATTACAAAAACGATGATAAACACAGAGGGCCAACCAAAAAAAGAAGAAAAGAAACCTTTATTCAAAGAATCCTTTTCAAACATTACTATTACTATATTAGCCTTATGCCTACACCGTCACTACACCCTACAGTTACTGAGTTATATTATAAATATAACTTATAACTAGTAGTAAAGTCTTGAAGTTAACTGTTAAGCTTCTTTTCTGTCATCCTTTGGTCTTTGAAGACTAATCGTTATGAGGTTTTACTTAAATCAGCGAATCCATCGGATCGAGATCCGTGGATCCAACCAAACTGTCAAACGCGCCCTCTTACAGTGGCAGTGTTAACAATAACAACACAGTAATCCATGACATGGCCGTAAATCCCGGGGGGGATGCATCCCCCCCCCGCTCTTGTAGGAGGGGGGGATGGCCTGTACAAATATCCCCCCTGAGATTTAAAAAAAAACTCCTTCCTCTGTGCCCCACTTGAAAGTTCAGCTAATTATGATAATTTGGAGACATGGGCAGACCTAAATCATTTCAATTACTGCAGGGGCGTGTAAAGGGGGGAGGGGTCCAGGGGGTCCGGACCCC